GAGAAAGAGAGAGAGGGGGGGGGAAGGGGTCCTGTGTGATGTGTTTTGGGGGCAGTGGGGTTGGGGTGGGGGAGAAAGGGAGAGGTCACTTTTTTCTCCTTTTTTTTTTTTCTTGAAAATAGAAAGACTAAAATACACTTAAAAATTGATGAAAACTAGATGGTGTTAAAGTCATATGACAAATCATGGAGTTTGAAAATTTAAAATGACATTTTTCTTAAATTTTTCTTTAAGGTGACAAATTAAAATTGAGATATAAGTCTAGGTGACATTTCTACTATAAAAAATCAGAACGGAATTCACACGGGGCCACTCTAAAGTCAGAGCGGGCCATGCCTTAAGGAAATGAAGTATGAGAGAGAAATATAATTGCATATTCCTCAGACAAAATCCTAGTATAGTTGATTCATCTTACCACTCCAAGCTTGTCCTTGATTGATTTGATTTGATCAAGGGGGAATGTCATGGTTGATACAGTTGCTGGCCGAAATTCAATTGCATCATTACCAGACCTGATTGGTGTTAGAACATCTCCGTTCATGGTCTTTAAAGTGCCCGACCACATGTCTGAAATGGTGTTGCAGAAACCTGAGAAAGTTTTAGTCACAAAATTTTCTTTCTTTGATTCGGATCGCTGCCGTGAAGGAAAAGTTAAGGGAAGAGAAGGGTTATCAGCCCTTTGCATGGAAGAAATCAGGGCACCCATGAGAGAGTAACCGTCTCCAAGCGCATGGTGAAACTTGAAGATTACATTAGCAGCTGCATTGCTAGTTGGGTAGTTGATAATATGAATTTCCCATAGTGGTTTGCCTTGTGGAAATCTCTCTGTTAATAGCTTTGAAATATAGTCGTCAAAATACTTGTCGTATGATTCAAGCGACAGGCCGGAAGGGAAAGTAGGGGTCTTAACGTGGTCTTCTAGCTTCACTTCCACCCTTTTCCACTCTTTCTTTCCATTATTTTCAACCTGTTTCCAAATAAACTATTGCTCAAGTTCTCAACTTTGTCTATCATAAAACTTGGAATTCACACGGGGTCATATAGTATTTATTGTCATGATGACATGGGTCCTATAATTAGTATTGGATGGTAATTTTTTTAAGCAACGAGAGAGAGAGAGAGAGAGAGAGAGAGAGCATACCATGATAGAGGAGAAACGAGGGCTGATGGGGAGGAAGACGTTCTTAAGCAACGATATTGTTTGAGACTCGGGATTGATTGGAATCTCAATTTCCCAAACAGCAAGAACCGACAGAGATATCACATTGCTACTGAAGTACTGACCATTTGGGCTCACCGGCTCTTGTTCTTCCAATTCCTCCAACTCCATAGTGTTTGTACTTGAAATTATACTTTCTTCATAGCACATCGATTATCACGTATTTATAGGAGTGACTAACAAAAGAAGGGATAGAATAGATACTTGTTTTCCACTAGTCCTTAAAATGGAGGACGTGGCTAAACATTAAACCGAAAAAATGTCCACGTCATTTAAACCTTTTTCTTTAAAGGGTTTTTATAATTATTATCACAAAACATGAGGTTAACGAAACTATTAAGTTGTGTCTTTAACGTTTTTTGTGTCATTAATGGTCCTCAAGGATAATTTTCGTGCTCAAAAGTAGTTTGTGTTGTCAGATTTGTCCAAAATTCTATTAAATAACTGTATTTATAAAAATTGAAAGAAAAAAAAATTTCTTTAGTGATATGCTCACGACGTTGTTGTCCTAGGTTTATCTTATAATCAGTGGTTATTATAGGGGGATTCAATATTGTGTTAGAGGATCTTAATTAACCATATAGTGTTAGTTATAACGATAAACTGTCGTTTTTCACCATGAATTATCACGCTATTCGAACTTGATCGGGGCTCGTAGATGCTTGTGACATACCTGCGTGTTGAACATCACGTTCTTGTCCTTCTCCTTGCCTGCTCGATTATGCTCTACCTGCTTGGGACCTCTCGAATTGCATGTCAGTGTGTTCGTCCATCCTTCTCTCTTTACCTTGGAATCCAAGGTCAAGATTTCGAACCAAGTCAATCTGGTTGATGAGTTGTCCAACCAAGTTGTTTTGATCGTGTACTCTTTGAGTCAGCTAGTTGATGAGTTCCTACAACTGTCGTACCTTGAAGCGTAATTAGGAGAATACTCACCAGCCCAAATTAGGGTTCAACAACACCCAACTATTTTTTGGTCGATCACTCATAAATAGTCAATCTTGCAACTATTTGAGAGAATTTCGTCAAAAAAGTCACGTCAGAGACATGTGCCTCATATTTTGAGAATAATGTGGTACTTATAAGCACTTGGACCCCTTCCCATCGCAATCCCCAAGCTCCCTCCATTCGTTTCCAGTTATAGTTGAAAATCCAACCTTTATTCAATAGAATTAAATCCCCCTAACCCACCCAACTCCCCGTGCCTCACCTACCCAAATTGAACCTCTCCATCTCTCTCTTCCTCATATTTTTATTTCCATCTTTACTTCTCTAGTCTCTGTCTCTCTCTCTGTATCTTAATTTATGTCCGAACAAGGACATGTGTTAATTACAAAGTTGAGAAGTGGTCTATTTTTACAATTGAATTCCCTTGTTCAAAGGAAACATCAGCAATAAAACATCCATGCAGTCCATGTGCTATCTAGAATCAGGCAAACAAATCAACTGGGGACGCTTTGATGTAAAACCTGGCTTTGGAGCAACAAGACTAATACCATGTCATGTGTGGAAGAATTTATTTACACTAAAGAAGGAGGGATTCGTTTTAAAAGCTTTTATTTACACTAAAGAAAGAGGTTTAAATGTTTAGCCTGCAAATATGGTTGAAAAAGTAGAATATCGACACAACAATTCTTTTCCCTATAAGGTATTGAATCAAATCACAAAATCATCAATTCAATATGTAGTTCAGCTATTCAATCAATAATAAGTTTGGTCTTGACTCTTGCTCACTTGCCCGCTTACGTACGTCCAAAAAGGTGGGCTGTTTTTAGTTATGATCCACAATTATATGTTTGCTCTTGTGGAGCTCTGCCCACTCCATGTTCAAATGTGGTTCAGAGCGTCCTATCTCAAAGTATCATGAAAAACTGATAATTAGCTTACAAGTTACAATTTGGGTTTAATTGCAATAGTACACTCTGAAACATCGGTCAAATCCCACTTTACTCCCTTATAATCAAAGTAACCCACTTTGCCGCCTTAACCAAGGTTTGATGTTTCACATTGCCCTCTACTGTCAACTCCATCTAAAAGTTCGTTAAATTTGATGACATAGCAAGGACGTTTTAATAATTTCGTGCACCTAGGTCATTTTCTCCAATTTAAATGGGTGCTTTGCATTATCTGATTTTTTTAAATTATTTTTTTAAGTAATCATAATTCTGGTTTTATTGGAGTTCCCTACCCTACCGGTCACCTCTTCGAAAATGACTATAGCACGCCTACTCAGACCAGTTCATTTTGTTCAAAATCCAACGACCAAAAATAGAGATCCAAAATTTTAATATCATTTTTTCTGTCGAAATAATTTTATAATATTTCTCCGGACAAGTACTTCGAATACAGAATCTATTAAGCAAGTTTTTGCTCAAGTTCTTAGGATATTCTCCAATAAGTATTTAAGTTGAGAATTGGTTACATATCGACCGTTGAATTGCATCTAAGAGACTACCAGCACATTTAATGAATGCAATCCAACAACCAAAATTAAAAGCATGTAACCAATCCTTGACTTAAAATACTTATCGGAGAATCTACCCACGTTCTTAGTAAGAAACTTCTTACTCTGCCTGCCCACTCACAGGCCTATAATATAATATTCAACATTTCGTTGAAAAATTGCTAATAGGCGTGCAAAGTCGGAATTCTAAAAGATAAGGATTTGATTTGCAAACTTTTCTGGGCTGCTTTAAGCAAAGCAAAACGAATAAAAGCACATGGCTCAATAATTCCTATTATAAATTACAAGGAAAAATTTGCTGCAAACTACTTTAAGTAGATAATTTCTCTGCTTATTATAATCTGCAACATGCTGCAAACTACTTGAAAAAAATGATCACAACACGATGCGTCCATGATCAATCAGACCGTTGTAGAGATGCTAAAAGAGTATGTATTAGCTTTCTACTTTTGTTTTCTCCATTGCACTTGGGGAGCAAAAATAGAAACCTGCTAAAGTGAGTGACTAACCTTCACAATTTATACAAAGTCATTACATGTTGAAAGACAATATCAAGTTGTGTACCATGATGGGAAAGCTGCTACCTGATTCTAGTCGCACTCTTTTACATACAAAAATTATGAAGAGAAATGATACAACTTTCCCAAGATGGCGTGACAGGACGGTTTTTCGGTGGACTTCTATGGGTAAGAAGAGATGGCGATAAAGAATACTGAATTGGAGATTAGAACAGAACTGTACAATGGTTCTGCAGCCAGAGAACAAGCATCAGAAATTTACACATACAAGTTTAATATACAGGAAATTGACCAAGCAAAAGAAATAAAAAAAATATTTGAAGTAAACAACAGTTAAGCATGCGGATAGCACATGCACTCAGGGTAAATAGAAAGTTTTACTGCAAGCCCTCAAAACCCACATTTGAACAGTATTTTATCCACAGCTACCAGCAGATGTTAAATGAGCATGCATGTGCACGCGCAATTAAATGACGGTCCTAACAGGTTTGTATCCACAAACTACTAGAGGAAGATGTTACGTGACGTTCTGATTAGTGAGGTCACAGTACCAGCAGGCTACACACGACTATTAAAGGAAGCATGAAGTCGGATGCTGTTCCAATTAGCACACAAAAAGGAGGCAACAGTCCGCACAGGCTGCATGCACATGATGATTACAGAAAGCATGGAGTTACATGCTATCCTGATCAACTAGCATATAAAGAATGAGACAACAGGATTCCATGCACACAAGGAAGCATGAAGTTACACGCTGTTGGATTAGGTTAAACTTGAATTGCATACAGGTTGAAATTGTGTGGCTGTATAAAGATCCCAAGCTTCACTATTTCTATACCAATCTTAAGATACCTATCTCATTACTAGTCCAAGAATAGGGCACCACTCAATTTTGGAAAACTGAAATGGAAATTTTAGGCATACCCGATACTATGAACAGCATGCATGCCTGCCAGACATCACTTCTCAAAAGAATGCTGTATTATGTGCATGAATAAGCGTTTGCCCATTCAGCTGAGTAATGGCACGCCTGGACGACTAGGTTGAGTTGCAGGAGCTTTAATCAATGGCGTCAAAGATTCCATGATACTAGCAAATGAAGGTCGTTTCCAGGGCTCACTGCAGTATGACCATTGTTATTATAGAAAAGTATTGAAAGGGGAGATTTGCATACAGAAGTTAATCTAATATATGAAAATTAGAATCTCAAACTCACTTGGCCCAGCAAGCCTCAATGATCGAAGCCACTTGAGGATTTAAATCACGTGGAATCTCAAGCCTTTTGTTCTTAAAACCAACAGCTGCCACAACCTACACAACATATAAAAGAAACACTATGCATCATCATGATGTATGAACTCATGTAAAAGTACACAACATACACATTTCAGTAAAATTCTCAACTGAAGGAGAAACTGTAAAGAATAATGTAAAACATTTTCATAGTCACATTCCCCGTTCTAATCTATAATATAAGAGCATAACACAGATTATATGTATGGATGTACACTTCCATCATTCAACTTATTAACATGAAAAACAAACCTGTGCTGGATTTAAATTACCCCACGGCTGTTGCAGTGTAGCTAGTTCCCACAATATTACACCAAAACTGTAAACATCTGACTTCTCATTTGACGGTTCATCACGCAGGACTTCCGGTGCCATCCATTCCGGCTAATAATTTTCAATTTTCAATTGTCATGAACATGTAAAGCCACCTTAAAATGATAACCTTCAGGTTCTTGTATAGTTTTAAAGAACTTACAGTCCCAGCAGCTGACTTTGATGAGAGAAAAGTGTTTGCCTTTAAACGGGAAAGACCAAAGTCACAAACCTACAAATGAACAGGCAAGACAAATTGTATAAACAAAATGCCAATATTACAGCAAGTAAATAAATGCAGGTAAGCTTACAGTCATGCTCCATTCCAAATACATAAAAGTACTTAATAGTGGGGCGCATGCCACTAAAAATTGAACTTATGAGAGCCACGAGAAATCACAAAGCAACAAGATTCTTTCACCAAGCTCATTAAACATTAAGATAAAATTAACAATGCATTCCCAGCACCCAAACCACAAGCAAAATAAATGTGGGTGAGCTTAAGGATCCTCACCTTCACTGTATATTTTTTGTCAACCAACAGATTTGGAGATTTTAAATCT